ATTCCGAGGGGGAATTGTTCGAGAGTGTTGCGCGGTTTCGATTGGAATCGCTTGCGGAGAAACGGAATCATTGGGTGACTTGGGTGTGCTTTGAGTTTTGTTGGTTTTGGTTCTGGGTCTTTGTAATTTTATGGAATGTTATGTGATAGTAATGTAGTTAACTATTTGTTTTGTGTTTTATTGTGTGATATCTATGTTATATTGTATTGTATTGTGTTATATTATATTTTATTGTATTATATTGTATCATATTGTATCATATTGTATCATATTGTATCATATTATATCATATTGTAACATAATAAGTTATAATATACCATATTATATAACATAACATATTATAATATATAATATTATAACACTTTATATCATGCTATATCATATTATAACATAATATGTTATAATATATCATATTATATCATATTATATCACGTTATATCATGCTATACCATATTATACAACATAATATGTGACAATATACCATATTATATAACATAACATGTTATAATATATCATATTATATCATATTATATCATGTTATATCATATTATAACATAATATATTATAATATATCATATTATATCACGTTATATCATATTATATCATATTATATCATATTATATCATATTATATTGTGAAAATTTAACTATTATCATCACATTCAACCACGAGCCTACCAAACAGCTCCACATTATACAATATCGATTCCAAAGAACCAGAACCAAAACCCATACAACCCTAAACTCATACACCAAATAACGATTACAACTTTGTTTCAGTTCTCCATAGCCATTTCAAGAAGCGAAACCTATATCACAACTGTTTTCAACCCCTGAAATGATCGAACCCTACCGACGACTTTCGTCACGAGTTCGATAGGATCACGAGTGATGCGCGATATCAAGAGTTGAATTTTGAACGCTGTGTTGAAAAATCTGTATCCTTTTGTGTTCTAAATAATCTCCATTAACGTAGCAATATCAAAACAATCATTTTTATCGCTATACTTAAGTTTGAAAAAGAAAATCAAATCTTCTGTATTAAATAAATTTGTAATTATAATATCGGTTCATTAATTGCGTGCTAATCAAGCATCTAAAATATCAACTTGCGGATGCCTAGGTTTACGAGAATTCTACTTACTCCCAATATTCTTCGACTGGTGTAGTGTGATGTAAGGTATTATTGATCATAAAATTTGTACCGTTTGTACTGTTCCCATTCTGTGTATGATCGGTGGCATTGGATGCATCGTAACAAGTATTAGTGTTCCACCAATTCCCTGGAAAATAATGGAAACTTGATTAGTTTATAAATATCTTCGAAAATCTATTGAGTATGCATTGTCAAACAGAATGAATAGACTAACTGCACGTTTAAAAGTGAATAGAAAATAAAAGAATCAAAGATTGTTTATCAACAATTGTTGTCCTTTAGAAAACTATATTTCAAAAGATTTTATTTTCGAAAATTTATTATTTAAGCATTGTCAAAGAGAATGGATAGAACAACTACACGTATAACTAGTGAATAGAAAATAAAAGAATCGAAGGTTGATTATTAACAATTGTTATCCTTTAGAAAACTATATTTCAAAAGATTTTATTTTCGAAAATTTATTATTTAAGCATTGTCAAAGAGAATGGATAAAACAATTGCACGTTTAAAAGTGAATAGAAAATAAAAGAATCGAAGGTTGTTTATTAACAATTGTTATTCTCTAGGAAATTATATTTCAAAAGATATTTATGACTGTACATATTTCACATATTTTTCTATTGCAAATCATGATCACTGTACCATCCACCTTCCACTCGTTACATATTTCCGTAATTGTTCTACTAACCACAACCCTTCCAAGGTACTTCAGGTATATTCATGAGAGTACTGATGAAGTAGAATAACGTCCACGCGATTATAATACAATAATACACGTCCAAGAAGAACACGATCGTCATTGTAGCGTATCCAACACCTGCAAAATATCAACGTTAAATATTCAAAATACATTCCTAACATTAACTTCATAAGAGATAATTAAAATAACATTAACACATCTCTACCTACTAAAAAAAACATTTACCATAACCTTAAACAAGAAATAAATTCAAATGCTAAACAAACTTAAAACTTCTCTTCCCCTTTTCTCAATAATTCTCTCACTTATTTTCAATTTCAAAAACTCCAATTGAAACAAACATTTCGCTAAAACAAACGAATCCTTTAAAATATCGATTACAAACGATCTACGAATAAAACGTCACATTGAAACAATATAAATATACAAGGAACAATAGAAAATTTTATACAAATTTGAAAGTTCACTTAAACTTTATAAACAATGTACAAAATTCTCGTTCTCTCGATGTTTCCTAAATCTATTCCCTCGGTGAAGTAGGAAAATCGGTTGCAATTTCTTGGAGTTTAAGTTTCATAAAGAAATTCCGCATTTTTGGTAAATATCGACAAAAGTTGTTTATCATGCAAACGGTTAATTAAAGTACCTTGCAACAAGGGACACAATTGGCCGACGAGCGTCATCCCTCCGGCGCCGAGGTATTGTCCAATGGCCACTTCTTGGAAGAAGATCGGTATCCCGCAGAACACCATGGCGATGCCGTAGGTAATAAGAAATGCCCCTGCAATCAATGTTTCATTCTCGTAGCGTTTCACCCGTGCACCGTTGAATGCGATCATTTACGTACGCTCATCGCCATGCGTCGCGCGAATGGTTTCGAATAGCCGATACGGAATGCGGCGCGAATGCATGATTATTGATACGTAACGGTGCATTCATCGGGAGAAATGAATTATCCTTGAATGTGAACAAGCCGATACTGTGTATCCACATTGGATTTTACGTTGCTCTATTTATAGCTGAAGGGAAAGCCGAGTCCGACGATAATTATGCGAAATTTAACCCTTTGAAACATTCAACATTTCTTGACGAGACGAAGACTGTGTTCTTTGAAACTAACTCGAAGGGAAATCACAAGTACATTGAAGAACGCTATTTTATTAGATTGCATGTATTGAGACATTATACAAAGTTCAACGGTAAATATCAAAGTTTATAATTTTACTGAGATCAGATGACTGAGTCACCTCCCGAGTGCAAGGGGTTAATCCCTTGACATTTCATTCGATTGCAATTTAATATGACGTTCTGTTTGTTCAAGAATACTTGGGAAACACTGAAATGGTACCTTTAAATGGTACGATTGTGACACTAAAAATAAATATAGAAATTGTTAGAATAAGTAGACTTTGGAATAAAATCGAGTGACTGCTAAGGGTGTAGTGTAAGCTAATATAAAAAGATCTAAAATATATTAATAATGGTACAATGTTAAACGTTAAAAAATGATATTTTCGAACAAATGTATTAATCAGTATAAATTTATTAACAAGAGCCCGTTTATGCACTCACCGCGCTCCGTGTTATATCGATAAATTTCGAGATTCCAATGAAACTCACCGCCGCCATTTTTGTAGCAGAGATAGGGGAAGCGCCACACGTTGCCCAAGCCGACGGACACGCTGATGCAAGAGAAGAGGAAATCGAGTTTATTGTCCCAGCCGCCTCGCTCGGTGTCCTCCTCTCGGTTCCTGACTTCCGCCACTTTGCCCTGGGGCGACGAGACCGTCATCTTCGGAACAGCTCGGGAAGACTCCTTTCTCCTCTCCGACCCGACCGACTTCGCTTTGAACTCTATGAACGTTTGGTCCGAATCTACTTGGTCTCTCTCCTCACCCCAATAGTACATTTTCTCAGCCATACTTCCTGAAATCATCAAACGCTCGTTCGTTAACAGTATTTCTACGAAAGGTGTTAAAAGACACCGTTTGAAATTTTAACTTTGAATTATTTTCCAAGTTTAATCGTACATTGTGAATTGACTTTTCAATTTTTCAGTAACGATTGTAAAATTATGTGTAGAAAATGTTTAAAATTCAATGGAGAAATGATTAAACCGAGGATGCAGTGTTAAGTTAAAATTTCAGAGTATCTATTGACACCATCGGTGGAAATAGTGTTAGCCCAATCGCGTCGTATCGTCGGGTTTTCTTATTGTATAAATTATACTATTGTCTATAAGTCATATAATCGTATATGGATCATACTATCGTATATAAATCATATAATTATATATGAATCATATTAGCATATATGAGTTATACTATCATATATAAATCATACAATCATAATGAATCATACAATCATAATGAATCATACTATCATATATAAATCATACAATCATAATACATCATATTATCATATATGAATTATACTATCATATATAAATCACTGGATCATGTATAGTCATATATAAATAATACAATTACATATGTATCATATAATCATATATAATTCAGATACAGTCATATGTAAGTCATACAATTATATACACATCATCATATTAATCATATGTGCATCATATATAGTCATACATAAATCATATAATCATATATACATCATATATAATCACATATGCATCATATATAATCATATATACATCGTATGCAATCATATACACATCACACAATCATATATACAAATCATATAATCATACATAAATCATACAATCGGATAAAACGGTTTACTAGTTGACTTCACATGATCACTTAAACATTTTATGAAGCTGCTAACTACGCTGCCCCACTACTAGGCTATTTAAATCAGATTCCACCGACACTTGCGAAGGTATTCAAATAAGTTAACCCTAAGAAGACCAAGGGGAGGGGCTCCTTAACCCCTTGACCTACAATACTGCCTCAAACTCCTGGAGATAATTTCAAATAGAATTCAACAAGTACAAGTGTCACTTAATTCTGTCGAGCTCAAATGAAATATTACATTCACTATTCTTCTATTACGATTTATAATACTTCAGAGTAAACCTAGACATAGAATGAATATGAATCTTTCTTCTTCTAATGGATCACCAGTAATGAAACAGTTCTGTCGACAGTTGCGAAAGAAATTAGTGCAAGGGGTGAAAACCAGCTCAAAAAAATTTCATAAAATTACCTATTGTCAGTTATGCTTCTAACATTGCTACTAAATAAACAATTCTCATTTAGACGAGATATTAACCCCTTGGCCTATGATCTCTTTCTCAATTCTGATCGATACGGCTACTTTCTGATTAATAATTTACTAGAGAAAGAGAAAAATTCTAAGCATATGCTATGCCTGTATTTCCTTTTAAGTATAATAGTTGAATACAGAGGAATAATATTCACTTTGAAGTCGAATGAACTGAGTAATATTTATATTTGTTGAATCATGAAAATCTTCACCACGAGTCTGACTCGTTGTTGTAGGAAAAAGGGTTAAAAATATATCAGATTCAATTCTATTGACTGAAAAGTTTGAAAAACCTTGGTGCAAATGTATATTAGAAGTAACGAATAAAAGAATAAAATATAATTTGTCATTTAGATCTAATTATTCATCTCTATATTTTATTATCTATAATCAAACCTTGACTAGTACAAAAATAATAACAAATGAAGCATTAACTTTTTACAGAATTTTATTATCTATAAGTACAAAAATAATAACGAATGAAGCATTAATTTTTTACAGAATTTTATTATCTATAATCAAACCTTGACTAGTACAAAAATAATAACGAATGAACCATTAACTCTCTACAGAATACTAATAAAAAATATTAAAAAGTTAACGTACATGATTTTTTAAATTATTATTAAAATAGAAGAAAGCGTTATATCATTATCTTGTTTATATACAGTGCTGTTCTTGAGATATTTATATTCAAGACGTATAATTCCAGAAAAAATGTGGTTCGGTCTCCCCAGGGTTAACATCGTAAGGAGAGATTCCTTGTTTCTTATCACGATGGAAATAAATCTGACCTTTGAAAATTGCTTCGGTGTCCTAATTCAGGATAATCGATTATAATCGCGACGGTTACGTAAAACTGTCCTCTATAAGCGAACTTATCTCCTTCGGCACTAGACACGTGTCGCTCTACAGTAAGCGCTAGCGAGCAAATTTCTTCGAATCATTAGAAATTTCATCTCGAAATTCTTCTGAGAATTATACTGAATTCTAAATGGACATTTTACGAAATGGCGACTAAGATACTAACATGAACCCTTTCCGGTAGTACGATTTAAAAATTCTGCACGATAGAAACATTTTATTTTGTTATAGAAATTAACGTGTACCACATGTGGTTAATTTCAGGTTAATTTTTTCACATAAACATGTAATTCTTCTTTGTTTCGCTTCGATCTTCCATTAAAATATACTCTACACGCATTCGTCCTGCGTTCGACGAGTACACGCTCCATTTTTCGATTTTATTGCGAGAACCAGAGGTTTTCCCAACTAAATTCCACAGTGTAGACGTGTAGGTTAATATTAATGTAAACTTCATGAATGTGCGTGCATATGTATGGGTGTAGCGTGCGTGTATGCATTGTTTTGAATAAACGCGAAAAAAAGAAAAGATATTTAAAAAAACGAAGTTTCTGTTGAGAATGGAAAATATATATATATTGTCATCGTTTAAATAAACGTCTATAACAGTTACTGTTGTATGAATTAGAATTCAGAATGTCCTTATATCAAACATTCAAGAGATTACGTTCATCAGCTCCGATTCGTCGGAATTGGCATGAATATTCCAGCGTGTGATTGAAATGAAAAATTATCGTGGAATTCCGGGAAACTGACGTTAATAAATGGATCTCTCTTTCTCTCTGTCTCCCTCTTTCCTATCGCTCTAAATGAAATCGATAAGTAAAGTAACAAACATCACGATGCACATTTTCCTACGTCATTTCCAGAGAACTAGGAATCGTGCAGACTACGAAGAAAGTAAGAAAGTGTCGAATCACACTCGAAATGTAACGCATTGCGTACTGGTAACGATTAATCTCGTGTTTGTGTAATATAAAGACACTTAGCTGCGCAAATTTCCTAATTATCATAACATATTGCGTACGTAAATTTCGGAAAAGTGAATTGTGCGGATGGCAATTTTCTAATGATCAATTAAAACAAAGCAGAAGGAATCTAAAAATACTTAATCTCCACAGAAATACTCTATTGTTATTTTTTGGACACTCAGAATTATTTGTTTCAATTTCAATAATATTATTATACTTGAAAAGATGTTTAATTTCATATTTCAATGGAATTTTCGTTCATTTTAACCCTAATCGGACGATGACTTTGAGTCACATCTGAACATTTTACTTAAATCTTTATTATTTCATATCGCATTTCCAAAAGTTTTTTTCAGAAAATTGTATTGTGTTGACAATTTTCAGTGAGATCAACTTATACATAGGATATGTACTCGTATCTTCTAATGAGCAAATGTCAGAATACATAAGTACACACAATATATGCACACTTTCGTGACTAATTGTATATACAGTGACCTAAAAGAAAAATGGCGGAGGACCATTAAATCGATGAATCACTTTGAAATTGATTTTAAAAATTAATTGAGATATAAGTGATTACAAGCTTTCCATTAACCTTCGGCGTACTGCATAAAAGCGTTATATACAAATAATGAATTTGATTATCGATGATATCGTCACATGCAACACGCGATTGCGCGGCTATCTGTAGCGTACAACGTTTGCATATCGCTTTTTTCGTCAACTTTCCAATTTTCCACGCCATTCTCTTCGTATTTCGACCCGTAACCTTTGCCCGAGTTCCGAAACCAATTAACAGAAGCCTATAATTGCAAGCATACCCTAGGAGTGCTGATAATTTCTAATCAAAACGCAGCAGCAGGTACGCAAGTGAATAATCGTCATCGAAACTCACCTAAACGCCATGTTTCGGTATAATTTTCATCCAATGATGGTCTATCGATAAAACAGTCGTTTAGAAAGTTACATAAACAATTAGGATGAACTGAGGGTAAAACTAAAATAATCATTGAACGTCAGTGATACTGGAAACGAAGTTTATTACCAATGATGCAACGTGGAGAATGAAAACTTCGGAACTCAAAAATTTTAACACATTATATACCGATTAATTAATTTCCAAATCGTTTTGAATATTCAGTGCTTTCAAGATAATTAATAATTGCCAAATAAAAGGATCGAATTTTCTTTGAAAATCATTTCAACTGATAGTTCCAGTGTCGATCATTTTCCCTCAATTGAATTCTCGACATTTCCTATCTGCATTTTATCGAAAAGCCAATTCAAAATATACGACTAAACTTAGAAAACAATTGTAAGTTGACCCTTTGAACTCAAGTGATTCTCAGTCACCACTTGGTTTGATACAGTGGAACTATGAATTTAATATTTTGAATGAAACTTTGTATTGCTTTGTGAAAGATTTAAATAAAATGGCTTTGTCGCTTAATTTATCTATGAATTATCGTTAAATTATTTTCAAACAATATGCCCTATATCTCATTAGAAAATGTTGAATATTTCCAATAAAAAATTTCCGAGTGCAAAGGGTTAAGTCATCCCGAGTTCAAAGGGTTAACATCCGGTGACATGTGCACCGAGCTAACGCGTGAACCCGTAAAGCAACTTTTCGATCAGTCTTCGTGAAGGAAGCCTCTTGTCCAAACACAAACGCACTGTGAACCGCGAGGGTTTCTTTCAGGTCAAGTCATAGGACTCCCCGATTTCCTCGGTGATCATTTCATGGACAGTCGTGTTCAAAAGTTATATACAATGACGAGTGATGAAGATTTCTAGATTAATCGAACAAACGTCAAAGTTCGCTGCCCACGTGTCAAAAGACTATTTTGCTATTATCAATTTAATATCTTCGAATGAAATTTCCAGTTAATACATTGTTAATCGGCGATTTTACGCAGTAGCTATTTTAATGTCACCGGTTAATATTCCGTAATTGAATATGAAAGTGAAACAATGTAAATAAACTTCGATATACTTTATTTATAAATAATGAATTGAAATGAAACTTTCGGCATATCTTTTATGTAACTTTGAATATTTTGCTTTTACAATATTCTATGTTGCGTTTCGAAAATTTAAATAGCTAATGCACGTGTCGGGATTGTTTAGGAGTTTTAATGGTTGTCTACTTGATAGTCAAAGTGTTAAAAATATATTAACTTTATCTACAGTAGAACTACAATGTTATACAAAGAATTTCTCAATTTATTCCATCGTATTAGAGTGAAACTAGTAAAGTAACCCTTACAAAGAATCTTGACTCTATTTTTTGCTTTATTAACAAAACTATCTCGATTGCTTAGGAGTTTTAATATTTATCTATTTGGCAGTCAAAGTATTAAAAATATATTAATAACTATTACTATAGAACTACAATATTATACAAAGAATTTCACAATTTATCCCATCAGATTAGAGCGAAACTAGTAAAGTAATTCTTCCAAAGAATGTTAACTCTAGTCTTCGCGTTATTAACAAAACTGTTTCGATTGCATGAGAGTTTTACCTACTTGACAGCCAAAATGTTAAAAACATATTAACTTTATCTACAGTAGAACTACAATGTTACACAAAATTTTTCTCAATTTATCTCATCATATTAGAGCGAAACTAGTAAAGCAATCCTTCCAAAGAATATTAACTCCAGTCTTCGCGTTATTAACAAAACTGTCTCGATTACATGAGAGTTTTATCTACTCGACAGTCAAAGTATTAAAAACATATTAACTTTATCTACAGTAGAACTACAATGTTACACAAGTTTTCTCAATTTATCCCATCGTATTACAACAAAACCCTGTCACAAAACAACGCGCTAAAGAACGGCAACCAAAGATTTCTAATTGAAGATATTTCTAATTGAATCTGGTGACGCGCAGTGCCGCTCGTCAATGAGAAGTCCACCCCTTTGCAAAGTATTCGGCCCTACGCAACTCGCGCGAGCCGTTACCCTTATTATCGTTGGTCCCGATTCAACGGGAGGGAAGAGGGTGCACGTGTCCGTGTTACTTGCTCGCGTGTGTGCGTACCCGCGCACTTGCAATGTGTTAGTCACCGCTGTGCACACGCGTGTGTGTGCTTGTATACAAACACTCGTGTGCGCGCTACGGATGCTGAACGCAAAATCAATAACAAGGTTTCTGTCACGTTACGGCATACACGTGGACGGTCGTTTAACCGTGGACATTTTCGAGTTTCTCGATCGAATTGGGACAACGAGGATCGTCGATTGCGACGTTTGCTGATGTTCGTTCTGGAATTAGGAATGGTAAGGTTTTCAGAGTTTCATTGTTCCTCGTGTATAGGAGTGTTCGGAGATGTTCGGTTGTATTGATGGAATGGCACTTGCTTCGAATTGGAATTTATGGTTGTATAATATTGGAGAGATGATTGAGGATGTTTAGGTTTTTGGATGGTTTGAGTGGTAATGTTTGAAGAGGTTTTATTGGGAATATTTGTGAAATGGTATTATTACCAATGAAACCCCTTTAGTGAAATGGCACTTGCTTCGAATTGGAAATTATGGTTGTATAATATTGGAGAGATGATTGAGGATGTTTAGGTTTTTGGATGGTTTGAGTGGTATTGTTTGAAGGGGTTTCATTGGGAATATTAATAAAATGGTACTTCGAATTGGAAATTATGGTTATATATAGCTGTGATGCTGGAGAATGATGTTAAGGTTTTTATGAAGGGATGTTTCATTCGGAATATTAGTGAAATGGTACTTGGCTTGATTTGGAAATTATGATCATATAATATATTATGATTGTGGAAGATGTTAAGGTTTTTGAATAGTTTGAGTGGTATTGTTTGAAGTGGTTTTATTGGGAATATTAATAAAATGGTACTTGGCTCGAATTGGAAATTATGATTATATAATATACCATGATTCAGAGAGATGTTAACATTTTTAATACTCCAAGTGTTACTATATAAAGAAATGTTTCATTATAAATATTAATGAACCGGTACTTACTTCTAATTAGAAACAAAGTTACAACAACAACGATAATAACAACTTAAGATTTCTATATATGTCATCTCTTCCTCACAAAGAAACATTTACTCAAAAACACCGTTAACAAAATGGTCAGTTCTCAGAAACAAGTTACAAAATCCCAATGGTAACCCAAAACCAACTAGAACATATACATTAACTATCCCTTACAAAGTTCCATTGAAAATTCTACTAAAATACGTCAGAAACAGTTACATAACAGCAATGATAATCCAGCGCAAAAACGCTCGAGTTTGTTATGCAGAGTATATTGATCAGTACCGTGATGAAAGGATGGAACGCTAGACGATCCGATGAAAATTAGGGTAACCGGCGAAGGAGGGAAAGTCTACGCTCGCGGACTCAGGACAAAGGATATCGACGCGTACCTCAGTGTGCAGTCCCCGACCAGTCACGAGATCGATGTCGATCCTCCGGAAGAGTTTCTCACTGAACGAATCGCTGCGATTCTCGCGGAGCTGATAAACTTCGATATTCCGATCCTTCGAACGACGGAACGTCGCGTCGGGAGACGATCCTTGCGATGGAAAACAATCCGTTCACGCCCGTTCCTCGTGGGTCAAAGATCACCAGGGTCTTCGCTCCTCGCGTCGGAGACGAGTTTCCGGCCGGCGTTGGCGGAAGAACGGAGGTTGAGGATCGTCGCAGCACCGAATCGACGATTGATCGTTGTCGTCAGGTTCAACGAATGTTTATTGCGCGTCAGTTTTGTCAGGTATGTTACCTCGTGTCGACCTACCCCACAAGGGATGTGGTTACAGAATAATGCTCGGCTTCAAGATGGGGAGTGTTACCCCTTTCGGACGCATGCGCGAAATGAGCACCCCCTCCAGGGAGGCGGACAAAACTAGAGTTGGCAAGTCGAGGGAACTCTTCTGCCTTGTAAATAATTCATTACAGAGAATCTTGACTCTAGTTTTCGCTTTATTAACGAAACCGTCTCGATTAAATGGGAGTTTTAATGGTTATCTACTTGACAGTCGAGGTGTTAGAAATATACTAGTAGTTTCATCCGTTACTAGAACTACGATTTTATACGAGAGTTTTGGCAATTTGTCTCGTTGTATTTGAGAGAAACTAGTAAAGTAATCCTTACAAAGAAGCTTGACTCTAGTTTTTGCTTTATTAACAAAACTGTCTCGATTGCTTAGGAGTTTTAATATTTATCTACTTGGCAGTCAAAGTGTTAAAAATATATTAATAACTATTACTATAAAACTACAATGTTATACAAAGAATTTCTCGATTTATCCCATGAGATTAGAGCGAAACTAGTAAAGTAATCCTTACAAAGAATCTTAACTCTAGTCTTTGCGTTGTTAACAAAACTGTCTCGATTGCATGGGAGTTTTATCTACTTGACAGTCAAAATGTTAAAAATATATTAACTTTATCTACTACAGAATGAAGAATTCGAGTGACGAATTGTCTTTGTAAAATGCAAATCCAAATTTTGGTTATAGTATTTTACTAAATGAGAGGAATGGTATTTGTAAAATGCAAATGAAATTGTAATTGGGATGCTTTATGAAATGAGATGAATTGCCTTTGTCGAACGGAAATGATATTATAGTTACAATATTTGATTAACTGTAATGAATCGTCATTGTAAAATGCAAATAAAATTGTAGTTATCGTATTTTATTAAACGCAACGAATCGTGTTTGTAAAATGCAAACGAAATTGTAGCTGAATTGCTTTATTAAATGTGACAAATTGTCTTTGTGAAATGGAAATGATATTACGATTACAATGCTTTCTGAAACGAGACAAATTGTCTTTGTGAAATGCAAATGATATTATAGTTACAATGCATCATTAAATGCAACGGATCGTCTCTATAATATATGCAAATGAAATTCCGCGTTGCTTCAGATGCAGGCACACGTAAATCTAATTTAATCTTAAATATTTCAAAATATAAAACATCGAGGAAAACCTTTGCGTTCGACGATTTTTATGATTAAGTAATAAGTCTATTAAACGTTTGATAAAACCATTTATATTTCGTCGCTTTGAATCAATTTTTAACACGTTGAATGCCATGGGGGTCACCGGTGACCCAACCAAATCGACTTACTATAGTTCATTCAATTAAACGATTATTTGAAAACATTTGTATATTATAAATAATTCTACCTAATTCGGTGCCATTCGACTATGTCAATGTGCAATAATAATAATGCATTTCAAACAAATGATTTAATATTATATTTCTTCCATTTTAACCGTGATGAAGATTTCTAACCAATTTAACAACAATCAGTGTTAAATAATGTAAAATATTTTGCTATTATCAATTTATTATTTACTAACGAAATTTCCACTTCGAGTAGAATGGAAAATTTTGCTGCATTTCTTCCAAATAATTGATAGCAGAATGTTACACGAGCTTAGCAGCGGAAGTAAATAGTACGCCAAAGGGTTAAAGACAATGTTTGCTAAAGGTCAAAGAATAAAATTCTAATGAATACTACGGTTGGCATCGTCCTCAAATGGTTATTACGAACTTAGGTTGTCATTTGAACAAATTTCAGGGCATCGTAACGCTTATCTTCGATCTATTGCAAAATAATGCGGCACAAGTTCAGATTAATCGAGGTGAATATCAAATAATTTGATTCTTAGAAAGACTATTCTACGTGGAACTGATGTAATCGCAAGATAACTTTGCAAACGCTAATATAGGGTGTTCTCTGAACTTTATAACTAAGGAAATATATATCAGTTCTTAATTCTTGCAATGACTTTTTGAGAAACGAAAGAGATTTTAACTTTTAAGATTATATTTCGTATTTTAGGATGATATATTATATATTAGGACTGCATATTATACTTCTATGTAGATACAATAGGAAAAAAGTGTTAATACAATTGTAATTAGATGACAAAATGACCTTTACAGTTCTGCAAGGTCGAGTTTGAAGAAATAATTAAAATATTTAATATATTTTTAATATAATTTAACCTCGACTTGTAAAGTACTTTTCTTTTGTCTCATAAATTGTTGATTGCTAATGACATAAATATTTCGTATTTAGCAATATTTTCGAAAATAAAAAACGGAGTATCTTTGTTAAAATCGTTTATATCGATTTCGTACAAAAGTACATATTAATAAACATCTTATCAAATGATTGGCAAAACAAAAAAAGTAATCCAATATCCTTATTTTTCTAATGATTTCTAAAACTACGAATTTCCTCCTACAATTACAGAAATTCGAGTCGTCTGGTTTCCAAAAATTTGATATATATTTGGCATTTAGTAGAATCTATTGATAAATTAAAGGTTGTTGCCACGAGCAGAGAAATCGATCGAAATCTATTCAATTTTTTCAGGAAACTGGAACTTTCGTTTGTAGAAAGAGAGAGCTTGATCTTGATTTGTTTATCGCCTGTTTCAATGAGTGTTCCCGCTAATTGCCGCTTCCGTGCTTCGCGTATCTACCGTTACTAAGAAAAAGTGCTTTGCCGTGTAAATAATAGGATGAGGCGTGTAACTACAACCACTTCCAACGCTCCGGAAGTAATGTCGTTAGCGAAAATTGGTTTAAGTGATTCTCGCATGCTTCAGAGGGAGCCACATAGTTCTCCATTCGATTTTCTTTTACTATCAGTATCTTTTTGAAATTTCCAAGTCTTCAATTTTTTCGAATGTGGCTCAAGTATTTTTATATGAAAACTCGTGGACAGTTTCGTAATGAATTTAATGATACATATGGAAATCATTGTATTGAAATTTGATTGATACTTAAAATGACTGTTTCAGGAATTCATAGATTGATTATAGTTAGAAATATATCATTCTGTGATCGAATATTGAAAACAAATGATTTTGAAAGCATGAAAGTTTGAAAATCTTTTAGAAATGTAATATAAATATAATTTTGATACACTCTGGAGAGTAATTAAAGTGTGTTAAAAAATATAAATGTTATGCAATAATTATTTCATTAAACACGATTGAATTTATATTAATTTCTATGAATAAACCAAAAAGAAATTTGATTTTCACTTGAAAAATGGAACATATCAATTACACTATGTCAAAAAATATAAATATTAGGCAATAATTATTTTACTAGACATGATTGAATTTATATTAATTTGTAATAAACCAAAAAGAAATTCGACATCCACTTGAAAAATTGAAAATATCAATTGCACTGTGTCAAAAAATATAAATATTACGCAATAATTATTTTACTAAGCACGATTGAATTTACATTAATTGGTAATGAACCGAAAAGAAATTCGACATCCACACGAAAAATCGATTATGTCCCCGGAATCTGTGAAAACACAAATAATTTCTAAAATCGAGGAATGCACTGTTTAGCTTTCACCGGATTATGCAATATTCATGTGAAGCAATATTTACCCACGTCATTACTTGCAGAGCTGCCGGCACGGTTGCAGTTACTTACGTGCCTCGCGCTGTATATACAGAGTGTCTCGTTTTAGTTCACCCCGGGCGAATGTCTAGATAAATATGAAACCTGCGAAAATCCGTTTCAAACGAAAATTATAGAATATCCACGAAGACGGATTGCGTCGACATTCACGTGACCTTGTAACGATTCCGCACAGTGAAATGGAATTTCTAATATTTACCCGGGAATCTCGATTTTCATCTGTGACACCGCAACATTTTAACCCTTTGCACTCGGAAGTTTAATATTATAAATATTCAATATTTTCCAATTAGGAATAATTATCCTTTAACACGTTGACTGCCATTTATGTCACTTATCTTTTCTATAAAGATACAAAGCATTATTAATTTGTTGCATTCGAGAGAAAACTCGAGAAATTCAATATAAAATGTTTAATAAGGTATTAACACACTAAACCTAGAAATTTTCTTTATGTTTCTTTATGTAAGTTGCAAATGTTGTTAATATTTCGTCAGAAAGTGATGAATGTTTCTAATGAAAAATATTGTCGAGTAAAGGGTTAATTCTTTGATATGAAAATTCTTATGTTATTATCTACTTATTTAGAGCTACAAAAAAAATCCAAAAATAAATACTCGGTTCAATAAAAAAATATCAAAATCAAAGAGATCCAGTTAACCCTTTACGGACGAGAAGGTCAGCAGATGAAGCTAAATTATATATCGATTGCTTAGATAATTGGAAAAAGGAAACTACGCACTGACCTCTCGCTATTCGAGTAATTAACCCTTTGCACTCCAAGAAGTTTTCTCAGAAATGCTCGACACACTTCTCGATGAAAAAAAATCCAAAAATAAATACTCGGTTCAATAAAAAAATATCAAAATCAAAGAGATCCAGTTAACCCTTTACGAACGAGAAGGTCAGCAGATGAAGCTAAATTATATATCGATTGCTCAGATAATTGGAAAAAGGAAACTACGCACTGACCTCTCCGTATTCGAGTAATTAACCCTTTGCACTCCAAGAAGTTTTCTCAGAAATGCTCGACACACTTCCCGACGAAATATAGTATAATATATCTCATTTCTTGAGACTAACTTAATGAGAAATCAGTGAGCTAAAGAAGCAGCTGTTTCATTTGAATATTCCACGTATTAATGCGTGATACGAAACTTAACACGTTCACACCGGCGCTGTGATTCTTTCCCATTTGACGGCTGAATTCCCAAAATCGATGAAAATATTGAAATTATCAATAAGTAAATGAATTTTCAAATATACGGAAATGTTTTCTAATTACCACATCATTCGACGAGCCACATATTTGATGGTACACGCCGGTGTGAAAGCTTCTCAATGGAAATATTCAACATTTTCCGACAAGATATAGGGCATATTGTTTGAAAATAATTTAACGATAATTCATAGATAAATTAAGCGACAGAGGCGTTTCGTTTCAATATTTCACGTAGCAATGGAAACTTTAATTTGAAATATTAAATATTCAACTTCATAGTTTTGTTGTATCAAATCACGTGATGACTGGGAGTCACCTCTCGAGTGCAAAGGGTTAACATTATATTTTCTCCATTTTCTGTATTTTGCTCTATGAACTCGTGCGGCGTTCAACGCGTTGATTAAAGAAGTTAATGAAAAATTTTAGTTACATGAATTTCCCTCGGCGCCCTATGAACATTGTCCGACTCGTTTGATCCCCATATTTCTCGACGCAGACCCGGGTGAACTGAAATGGGACACCTGGTACACGTACGTGTTCATGAAAACAGGTCACCGCGAGTATAGATATACGATGATACGCGGATTTAAATTGCAACGTGTCGGGAAGCCGTCCGCAGGACATTTCTTCCATCGAAAAGGATCGACACGCGATACGGCCATAAACGTTGCCCAGCGTTCACCGGCGAGCCACGCGGAAAACACGTGCCGCGATAAAAATAAAAACGTGCCGGCCGTGCGTGGGCAACGGTAGCTCGGGAAATCGTCTGGTCGAAATTTCCGACTCGGGTTTGAACCGGTTTGAACCGTCGAACAGCGGCGACCCGACGCTGCGTCCTCGGCGTCGGGCTGTTTCGAGGCTTCCAGTTCAACAGCCGCTCGACTTGTCGCTGGAGTTGTAAGGGACCTGTAATGGCGGAAGTGAATTAACCCTTTGGTTCAATTCGGAAGTTTTTCAGTAGATTATGGGTTTATTGAGTTTTCATTTTGAACGTTTTCTGATGGGATGGCGGTATTTTGAAACTGACGACGAGAAATGTACGTTGAGGAAGAAAGCTGAATATTTTTAATATTTATCTATTTGAATATTTTACTAGTTGGTGAAGTATAATATAAGTAGAAAATTTGATATGTAATTATTATACTTATATTATATTTGATCAATTTATGAAATATTGAAATAAAAAAGATTTGTTCCTTAACATACATGATTTCTTTTACTGTATGAAATCAAGTGAGTGAGAATCAACTTTCGAGTACAAAAGGTTAGAACTGAATTATCCCTTTACACTTACGTCAAAAAAGAACTTTTGAAATTTTAACTCAACACATTGAGTACTGGTAACGAGAAATCTCGTTTTTAGACACTTAGCTATGGAATTTTGTTAATTACCACAGCATTGAAGAAAATATTGAATTTCATTCGGATTGATTATCTATTCTATCTATTCTAAGTTTATTCAACGTTAATTAGATAGATAGAATAGATAGATAGAATTTAAGTTTATTTAACGTTAATTAGATAGATAGAATAGATAGATAGAATTTAAGATTATTTAACGTTAATTAGATAGATAGAATAGATAGATAGAATTTAAGATTATATAACGTTAATCAGATAGATAGAACAGATAGATAGAATTTAAATTTATTTAACGTTAATTAGATAGATAGAATAGATAGACAGAATTTAAGATTATTTAACGTTAATTAGATAGATAGAATAGATAGATAGAAGTTAAGATTATTTAACATTAATTAAATAGATAGAATTTAAGATTATTCAACATTAATTAGATAGATAGAATTTAAGACTATTCAACATTAATTAAGATCTATCGCATAATATCATATTTGAGTTGTACGTATATAAATAAGTTAATCTCATTGAAAATTGCCATCCGCGTTACATACCACCGTGTGACATCCTCGTCTGTGTCTGAGCTGTCTAGGCATCAGCTTGTCGGACTCCTCGATGTCGGACTCCTCGATGTCGTTCACGACGGCCAACGTATGCATCGACTTCATCGAGACCTTCCTCTGGGGCTCTTTGTAACCGGAGAAAGACGGTTTCGGCATCCAGTTGGTGCCATAAGCGATCGGATGGACCTCTCTTCTAGCCGGATTGTTCACGTCGCTGGAAACCTCGAACCGACATTCGTCGCGCAACAAACTGGCATCGCTGCCATCCACCGGCGCGATGGGCTTCGTCAAAGATGCCTGTTGCGACCTGTGGTGTTGCAGCATCAGCCTCAGCATTCTGAATGACAGAAGATGAACACCATACGATGATCATGTGTTAACCCTTGGCACTCCATAGGCTCCTCAGTCGCCACTCGATTTGGCAGAGAAAATTTATGGAGTACAATATTTAATGTTAAGTTTCCTGTGATGCATTAACATGTGAAATATTAAAATAAAACAGCCCCTTCAATTTATGTACGATTGCTCGTGAAGCCAGTGTCAAGAAATGTTAACGACGATAGAGAGTCGTGTGTTGGCCTTCGTGGTATTAAGTTGTATTTTCACGTGTTGTCCATATCGTTTCTTTATCTCATTAAATACATATATATTGTTTCCTAATTATCTTTTTACCGAAGATCCACATTTTCAATATCTAATAGTAACCACTATAATATATTTATGTAAATTCTGTAATAACCTTTTTAAGTTAACAACTGCATAATACTTGAGCATCCGTAACGCGTGCTTCAATCCAGCTGCAGAACCCAGGACAACGTCCCGTATTCGATTGATGTACAACGAGCAGCCTAGAGTAACCACTGCGATCGACATAGACAGGAGCCAACTAATAAAACTGGCTGATACCGCTGGCGGTTGCATCGGTGAAGGATAGTACGAGGACCAGACGCGTTGCCACCACTGATAAGAAACGTTATTCTGTAGGTACTCTGACTCCTGTGGGAGAGAAAATGATTCGACGAAATTGAAGATAGCTGTGAATGATTTATTCCATTTATTATTTTACATTGTAATTGTATTTATAGTATAGTTACGTCTAACAATGAATGAACAATTAAATAGGATGCTCTGTAAATTTAATCTTATGTGCATTCTACTTTTGAGTAAGATTTTGTTTATTGTGTTCTTTTTATTTCATAATCTAAACTAATAATAAAATAAAAACTAATAATCTAAACTGTCTATGAATAATTATGTACATAGAGTGTTTCGAAAATTTGTCTTTCATCTATTCTATTTTTGAGTGACATTTTGTTTATACTGTTTCTTTTATTTAATAATAGTCTAAACTGACAA